CCCGGCTTAGCATTTTGCTTATTGAGGAAAATAGAATTACCATGAGAAACAACTCTCTTTGTTTTCCATACCATATCTTTTTCTTACTGAGTATTGAAAAATATTTTGTCTAGGTCCGCAAGTGATAGTACTTTAAGCACACTGAAAAATAACATCCTCCTATGTTTTGCTTATTGTTATGGTAGAGAAGGTAGCTGTTGGATTGAAATCCCAGCTCTGGACGGCTAGCTGTGTGACCTTGGGCACCTTACTCAACTTCTCTGAACCTAGGTTTTCTCTTCTATCAAATGAAGCCAGTAATTGTACCTGCTTGTTAGACTCATGGTGGGGGAGGGATTAAGCTCATTGTAGGAGCACATTTTAGGTGTTCTTGCAGGCTATTTTTTTTTTAATTTTTTTTTATAGTCCGGTCGTGAGGCCTGAACCCTGGGCCTGGGCACTGTCCCTCGGTTTTTCAGCTCAAGGCTAGCTCTCTACCTCTTGAGCCACAGCATCACTTCCGGCTTTTTTCTTTCTGCTTATGTGGTGCTGAGGAATCGAACCCAGGGCCTCAGGCATGCAAGGCAAGCGCTCTACCACTGAGCCACCTTCCCAGCCCTATTTTTTTTTTTAAATCTTGGTGCTTTTCTGTTATCAAGTGGTGTTGAAGTAAATCAACAATCTAGGTGTGGATTTCCTGCTGCTTTTTTTTTTAATCCTGTTTGAAATTCATCAGCCTTTCTGAATCTATGAATTGTGATCTTTTCTCCATTCTGGAAAATTCTTTGCCCTTACTTTCAAGTTGTACCTCTGCCCCTGCCCTATTTTCACTCCCCCCTCCCAGCCAAATGTTCATTAGATTAATTAGTCTTTTTCACTCTATCATTTGTGTTGACTGTATGTCAGTCTCTCTGCTGAGAACATTCTAGATAAGTTCTTTAAGCTTTTTAGTTCACTAATTGCTTTCAGCTGTGTCTAATATGCTGTTAAGACTATACATTGAGTTTTTAATTTGATTTTTGCTGGATTAAAAAAAAATCCAGACATTGCATTTGCTTCCATATCCAGTCTGTGTTTATTCTATAACCTTTAGCATTTCATAACCATATGCTCAACTCTCCTTTTATTTCTTTAAACATAGTATGCGTACATATTTTATATTCTGGTCTGAAACATCCAGTATCTAAATCTTTGCTCCTCTGTTGTTTTTTTGTTTTTATTTTTTTGTTTTTTGTTGGTCAAGAGGCTTGAAATTGGGGCTTTGGCGCTGTTCCTGGGTTCTTTTGTGCAAGGCTAGCACTTTACCACTTTGAACCACAGCTCCACTTTTGGTTTTCTAGTGGTTAATGGGAGATAAGAGTCTCCAGGACTTTTCTGCTCAGGCTGGCTTCAAACCGTGATCCTCAGATCTCAGTCTCCTGAGTACCTCAGACTACAGGCAGAGCCGCTGGTGCCCGGCTTCTCTGAGTCCCTTGCCTGTTATTTTGGACACCAGGGAGCTGGGGTAAGGACCCCTGAGGCCATCCAAAAGCCTTCCACACTGAAGGGCTGGTCTTCACGTCCCTCCCATGCCCTTCCCCAGATGCCTCCGGTTATTTTCTTTTCTTTTTCTCAATCACTTTTTCTAAAGGCAGATTCATGTCCACGGTTTTAAAACATAAAACAGAAGTGAAAATGTCTCTCCAGCACACAGTCCCTGCACGCAACACCCTATTTATTTGATTCCATAGATGCTCGTGGAGATATTTCACGTGTATTCAAGCAAACACAAATTTAAAAATTCATTCTCTCTGTAACACAAACAGCATGCTATATATATTGTTCTGCACTCAGTTTTTAATAAAAAATATGTTTCTGATTATAAAAGAAATACATGCTCATTTTGAATCACTGAAACCCCCAAGTGTATATATGTGTCGAAAGTGAACGTCTCCCTGGAATTTTATTCCCCAGAGATAACATTGATTTTACATCTATAAATATATGTTTGCATAAATGGTCTTATGCAACAAGCATTGTTCTGTAACCTATTTTTTCCCCTCTTTTTGTCCTAATAAAGCACCAGGACATCTTTCCATGGATCCTCCCACATTTCTGAAACTCACAGCATGGTAGCTAAATGCTGGGGCCATGGATTCAGACAGCGCTAGTAGCTTCTCTCCTGCCAGCTTTGCAGGGTCTCAGTTTGCTTGTCTGTAAAATGGGAGGATAGTAACTTGCAGCAGCTTGTGTAATGCTGTGCTTCCTCCAACTACTTTAGACACCCCTGAACATTTTAATTTTAACTCCCTTACTCTGTGTGTGTGTGTGGTGGGGGGGGGGTATAAAGTAATTTGGCTTGAATTCAGGGCCTTGCTCTTTCACTTGTACCCTTAAGGCTGGTGCTCTACCATTTGAGCCATGCCCCCATTCCCAGCTTTTTGCTGATTATTTGGTGGTAAGAATTTCTCAGATTTGTCTGCCTGAGCTGGCTTTGAATTTCAGACCTCATATCTCAGCTCCTGAGTAGATAGATTACAAGTGTGAGCCACTGACACCCAAATCATTTCCAATTATGACTCCCTCATCCTTTTTGTGTGTGTGTGTGACAGTCGTGGGGCTTGAACTCTGGGCCTGAGCACTGTTCCTCAGCTCAAGACGAGGGCTCTACCACTTGAGCCACAGCACCACTTCCAGTTTTCTGGTGGTTTATTGGAGATAAGAGTCTCACGGCCTTTTCTGCCCGGGCTGGCTTTGAACCATGATCCTCAGATCTCAGCCTCCTGAGTAGCTAGAATTACCGGTATGAGTCACCGGTGCCCAGCTATCCCTCATCCTTTTGTGTGTGTGTGTGTTATTTGAGTTTGAGCTCAGGATGAGCTCTTGCTTAGCTTTCTCTTTTCTTTCCTTGTCTGTGTCTGTCTGTTTGTGTCTGTGTCTCTGTCAATCTTTTGTGCGCTTACTGGAACTTGAAATCAGGGCATAGCTTTTTCACTCAAGGCTGGTGTTCTACCACTTGAGCCACAGCTGCACTTCTGGCTTTTTGGTGGTTAATTGGAGATAAGAGTTGCACAAACATTCCTACCCAGGCTGGCTTTGAACTGTGATCCTCAGATCTCAGCCTCCTGAGTAGCTAGGATTACAGGTGTGAGCCACCAGCGCCCAGCTCCTTCACCCTTTTGATGGCCACGGTATAACTCCTGCTTTCACTGTATTTGATGTTGGTATAATTTGTGGAGGGGAAGGGAAAAAAACAAATTGTTTAAATAGGGATATAGGTGGACCCGTTGCAACAATGAGATGTACAAGTCGTTATGTCAAAAACAAACTTTACAACTTTGGTGGGGGGGGCGGGGAAGGTTGGGTGGGGGTATGGGGGGAGGATGGGAAGGGATGGGGAGGGGAAACAAAGGAGGAGGCTACAATGCTTGATAAGAAATGTACTCATTATCTTGCCCATGTAATTGTAACCCCTCTGTACAGTATTTTCACAATTTAAAAAAAATTGCCAAACTGAAAAAAAAAAAAGAATTTATAGTGTGATATATCACCCCTGAATAGCCATTCTCCCTTCCATAGACATTGGATTGTGACTGACTTTGTTAGAAATGCCAGCTCCAGGTCTGTGCCACGCCTTGCAAGAAGAGTGTCTTCCTGTGGCCTCCCTGGCAGGGAGAATGCTGGGTGTCCTGCTGGGTGCCCTTCCTTCTAATCTCTGTCCCCTCTCTTTTCAAGGAGGAAGTAGACAGGCCTCCCGGGGTGAAGCATGTGTGTTATGTAAGTGTTCACGTTTTTATTACTGCTGTCCTTCCTGCCTTCCCTCGGGTGGTGGGACGGGCGGGTCCCCGTGGCAGAGGTAGTCCCAGTCCCCGCCTTCTTCTGGGCAGCCTGGCACTCCTCTCCCCTAGGATGCTGCAGCTGAGACTCCTGCTTTCCCCCTACACCTTGCCATCTGACCATTCATGCAAGGATTTGTTTTTAGACACACTTACCTTTCAATTCCCATGGTTTACAATAAATGGAAAGAATCACAACACACTTCAGGTGACAGAGCCTAAAGGAAGCTATAGGAGGAGAGAGGGGGAGGAAGAATCTTGCTGCATCGGCTCCTCCCCTCTACCAGTTCTGGAAAGCTACACTCCGCAGACACTCACTAATCACTACTTATGAGCCAGGCCTTCGGCAGACGCTGGAATACAGTGGGGACCCATTCTCAATTGTGGGGCACATTCTCAATTACCACAGGCCAGTAGGCAGCTGTGGCGGAACTGGACACTCTGGGGGCAGGGGAGCAGCCCATGGCTCCGTCCTCAAGGGTTGGTCTCCTTGCAGCTCAGCTGTGGAGACACCATTCAGCTCCTGGGGGCCATCGGCCATGTGCGGGCAGAGGGTGAGCTGCTGAAGCTGGAGGCTCTGGAGGACTTCATGGAGGTCAGCTCAGCCTTGCCCACCCAGAGGCCCAGGATTAGAAAGGCCACTACTCAGAGCCCTGCCATGTGCCAGGTACAGAAGAGACTTCTTCACTTATGATGTCGCTTAACCCAGTTGACAGAGGCTGATTTAGATGGATTTGGCTCAGTGGCAGGGTTAGTACCCCCACCCGGCCTGGGCTCTGAGAGCTAACTCGAGCTTAGGAAGAGCTCGAGGCTCCGTCCTGGCTGACAGCGTAGTCTGTGCCTCAGGCTTTGCAACTGCCTCAGCCAGGGGAGATCAGGGGACTTCTTCAGTTCCTCCCCCACTCTGGAAAGCTGTCCTTTCTCCTTGAGGACCCCCCTCCTCCAAGGCTGAGTGGCTAGCTGTCAGTGGGGTGCCCCATCACATGGCTAGAACATGGCTAGGAATGAGGTCTCAAGGCTTGGGGGGACAGTAATCCTTGGGCTGGGGTGGGAGAGACTCTTCCTACAGTGCTCCTCTCCCTCCCCTCTCTCTCCAGCATGGCCCCATGGAGGCTTCAGACAAGCAGACTTTTCAAGACAGGGAACAGGACTCAGGTGAAGGGTCACAGAAGGGCTGCTGGGTCTGGGGAGGATTCTCACTCAGCGTCTGCTAGGACCTTTGCCCACGCAGATGGAGAGGTCTGAGTCCTTGAGGGGGAGCTTCCTCTACCTGCTCTAGCTCCTGCCGCTGCCTAGAGCCCATGCCTCTCTCCACAGTGTGGCTTCAGCCCAGAGAGATGGCACGTCTGGACATCAGGGTGCGGGACACCGTAGTCCGGACCATGCAGGAGGTGCTGTGGAGTCGGTAAGCCCCCCTCCCCTCCCCCAGCATGCCATCAGGTGGCTCCACAGCCCACCACAACCCAGAGGCCAACCAAGATCTGACTTTAAGGTCACACCTTTGGCTCTCAGTCTGCCCAGCCCCTCTGGCGTTCACCACAACACATGCTTTTAGTCTTAGTGAGAGGCAGTGCTGGGAGCTGAGATCTGTTCCCAGAGCTGATCAAACCCAGGGCCAGCAGAACTTTGCAAAGTCCCACAAGACGTCAAGGAGTGGCAGCTTCAAAGTCAGTCTTGTCCGCCCCACCCAGGTTGGTTGTCCTCCACAGTCCCCGGGTCCACTGGCTAGGGACAGAGCCTGGGGGATCTGGATTCGAATCTTGCTTTGCCACTGACCATGTGGCCTTGGGCCAGGCCCCAGTCTCAGCCCCAGCAGCCTCATCTGCAGGGGTAGAGTGGTCCCCTCTCCCTCACTAGGCTGGGTGGAGGAATAAATGTCTGGAACTGGAAGGAGCTGGTCCCAATCCCACTACCAGCCACACGCACACCTCCCTCAGGCTTAGTGCAGGACACGTATCCTGGGTTCAGGGCCCACAGTGCTCCCCTTGCCCCCCAGCCTTCAGGAGCACCCCAACCTACTGCTGGGGGGGGAGAAGGTGGAGGACATTGCCACTGGCATCGAGGCCGCCCTCTTCTACTTGACACAAGACACCAGCTGCAGCTACAAGAACAAGTACCGCAGTCTGCTCTTCAACCTGCGCGACCCTAGGAACCCAGTGAGTGGGGGAACGGCCTCTCCCTCTGGGGTGTTGGCAGTGGTAGGGTGCTGGGGTGGGGGCTAGCCCATCCCTCACCCCCTGCAGGAGCTGTTTCTCAAAGTGGTTTGTGGCGACATCACCCCCCATGCCCTGGTACGGATGAACTCCACCCAGCTGGCGCCCCACGAGCTGTCCCGCTGGAGGGACCAGGAGGAGAAAAGGGTGAGCCAGGGAAGGAGCCATGAATATCGGGGAGGGAGGAGGGCAGCCCAAGGATGGGAGAAGAGGGAGATGTGAGGTGGGGAGGGGGCGGGGGGGGGAGAGGGAGGATGGCCAGGAAGGAGGGAGTCAGGGCTCCCTTGAAAAAGGGAAAAGGAAGAAGCGAAAGGTTCCGGGGACAGAGGTGATGTGGAGTCTCCTGGGGAGCACGGCTGGGTGAGGGGAGGGAGGGAGGCCCAGGTACTCATCTCCACCCTTTGTCCCCCTGTAGGGAAGCCATGCCCTCCAGCGCCCCTCTTCCCACCCCAGCCCCAAAAAGCCTAGGAAATGTTGGGGTGGCCTCTGGGTACCTATATCCACAGGAGCAGGGAAGGTGAGGCCTGGAGAAGGCTTGCCCAGCCCTTGCTGGTGGCCCAGTGAGAGGAAGACCCTAATCTAGGGGCTGAGACCGCTGTGATGATGTGGGGTGCTAACTCACTGTTGTAGAAGACAAGCTGGTCAGATCTGATAAGCAGAGTCCATTAAATGAATCCATCTGCTCCTGGCTGAGCCTTTGTCCTGGCATTAGAGGAAGGGAATGAGGACAGGACTGGGGGGGGGTAGGCAGGAGGGCAGCACTGACTATATAATGTGTCAGGCAGAATACAAGGAAACACGGAAATAGAGGGCCCTTTGCTCAACAACTGTTAGGAATTTTGTGCCATGTACCAGTGGCTCACACCTATAATCCTGGCTTCTCAAGATGCTGAGATCTGAAGGATTGTATCAAGCCAGTCCAGGCATAGAAAGTTCACTTGACTATGTAAACTAACCAGCAAAAAGCTGTGCTGGAGGTATGACTCAAGTGGTAGAGCATCAGCCAAACAAGCAAGCTGAGCAAGAACATAAGGCCCTGAATTCAGACCTTGGTATGACAAACAAAAACAAAACAACCAAAAAGGTGGGATGCTGGTGGTTTATGCCTGTAATTCTAGCTGTATCACCCAGGCAGGAAAGTCCATGAAACTCTAATCTCTAATTAATCACAGAAAAAGCTGGAAGTGGCGTTGTGGCTCAAGTGGTATAGCACTAGCCTTGAGCAAAAGAAACCCAGGGACAGCGCCCGCCCCCCAGGCCCAGAGTTCAAGTCCAGGACAAGAAAAAAAGTTAATTTCAATACAGAGTTTGAACAGCAGTGTTTTAGCCATGTGTGGGCCCTTCTGACTGCACAGGTTTCATGGTGAGAAACTAACCTACTATAGCGGATTAGATCCCTGTGCTATAGGATCGTTAGAAAAGGAAAGATGGCACATGCCTAAAATCCCAGCTACTTCTAGGAGGTAGAGGCAGGAAGGGTTTGCAGCCTGAGCTCCACCTTTTCAGAGCTTGGGGATCATTGAGCAGCAACAGAAGGAGCCATACAGACTTCCAGCCTCCAAATTGACCCATAAGGGAGAAGTGGAGATCCCGAGGGACCTGGACCAGATGATAACCTTGGAGGACCTAGTGGTGAGTGGGGCCTGAGCTTGCACTGGGCCAAACCTGCACCCCAGGATCCTCTGGCTCCTTAGGAGAGTCACCTAGCAGCTCCATTGTCCTCTTGCTCATGATAGAAAAGAGACTGTAACCCTTACCACACAAGATCACGGTGGCAGGGATAAGGAGGAACTACCCCCATGGGTCTGGTCCGTGCCATCTTGGTGCTAGTCTTGCTCCCCCATGCCCTGGCTGAACTCGAAGGCACCCACAAGAGTGTCACTGAGGCCAGTCATTATGGTCCTGGCCATTCTGACCAGGCCTGTGGCTGTGGTTTTTTCTGGATGCAGCCAAGGGAGACCTGCTGTCGTCAGTGAATTTGTGTAGAGACCCATTGAGGCCAGAGGCCATTCTGGAACTCATCCTGCTCTGGAGAATGTCCAGGTTCTGGGCTTTCTCTTGTCCCTGGGAGGGGCTGGGCCTTCAGGCATGTCCTGTGCCTTCCTCTCCCCAGGGCTCCTCCCTCTTGCGGAGAGCCTGCCTGGTTGTGGTGGCTCAGCAACCACCTGGCATCTGAACCAACCAGGCATCTTGGCCTCCCGCCAACAACTGGGACTTCCCCATGGCTCACCTTGGTCATGCCCAGAGGCTGCTCTGGTAGAGGCTGCTCTGGTTTGCCTGGGTACCCCATGGGTTTAGTTCAGCTGTGTGGTCAAGACATAGGGTGCAGGGCAAGTTTCCTGGCCCACATTCCTTCATGCAGTGAAGATTTATTGAGCACCTACAGGAGCCAGGCACAGGAGAAACTGCAGTGACCTTGGAAGCAAAACTCTGTTCTCCATGCCTCCCACCGCCAAAAGGAGAGACTGCCTGTGCAGAGAAATCCTGGGGGGGGGGGGAGGGCGGGTGCCTGCTCCCCAAGCCAAGCCATGCGCAGAAGGGCAGGGACTGTGCCAGGAGAGAAGAGAGGAGGGGAGGGGAATGGCATGTGATAATCTTGACTCTATGGAACATCTAGGGGTCCCTTTGACAAACAGTGCCTCATTCAAACCTGATACTGACTGAAAGGGTGGGTGAACTTGAAGCTATCAGCACAAGAGGTCAGTGTGTTGCTGGAGCTGAGGGTTGAGCCCAGGCTAGCTCACTGCAAGGACTGCGCCCTGCTCCTGGGATGGTAGTCTTTCAAGAGCTTCTTAAACTTTCCTCTAGCAACATGCTTTTGTGTGCTTACAGCTCTTCTTATAGGGTTGAAGGTGGGGCTCAGTGGTAGAGTGCCTGTCTAGAAAGCGCCACATCCTGAGTTCAAACCCTGTTAGTACCAAAAAAGAAAAAGAAACATGACCACAGTTTTTGCTGGGCACTGATGACTCACAGCTGAAATTATAGCTATTTGGGAGGCTGAGATCTGAGGATCACAATTCAAAGCCATCCCAGGCAGAAAAGTCTATGAGACGCTTCTCTCTCACTAAACAATAAGAAACTGGAAGTGGAGGTGTGGCTAAAGTGGTAAAGTGCCAGCCTTGAGCAAAAGAGCCAAGCAAGAGAGCAAGGCCTTGTGTTCACGCCTCAGTACACCTGCGGGTGAGCGCGCGCACACACACACACACACACACACACACACACACACACTATGTTCTTCCTGGGTAAGCAAATGTCATTATATGCAATGTACATTCTATGAAAAATGAACTATGTAACTTGAAGGTAGGGTATAGGGGGGACAAAATGGAGAACAAAAGAAGAGGTAACATTGACCAAGCACCATTCGTGCTAATAATATGACGTATGGAATTGTAGCTCCTTTGTACAACTTAATAACAACAACAACAACAACAAAAAGTTCGTACTGATTATAGAAACACAGCATGTCAGTGAACATCTGGAGTCTTACAATGTCCATTGTCCCTGCATCTGTCTTTTGAGACCTAGACCTAAGACAAAAATGTCCTGGGAGCTGTTCCTAAGAGTGAGAACCTAAAAATGACACAGACATCTAACCATAGAGGTGACATGTGCACTACAGCCTGTCCCCTCACTGAAGTGTCTGGGGGGACCAGATAACAGGGCAAACTCCTCTGCTCTAATTAATGGACAAAATGAGGACACATAGTTTGACTATCTGATCCCAGCTGTTACAGTGAGATGAAGGAAGACCCCAAATACTCACGGTTGTCTGTGGTAGGACAAGGCTTTTGTTTGTTTTTTGTTTTGCCAGTCCTGAGGCTTGAACTCAGGCCTGGACACTGTCTCTGAGCTGCTTTTTTGCTCAAGGATAGCACTCTACCACTAGAGCCACAGTGCCATTTCTGACTTTTTCTGTGTATGTGGTATGGAGGAGTTGAACCCAGGGCTTCATGCATGCTAGGCAAGAACTCTACTATTAAGCTACATTCCTAACCCCTTGGAACAAGGGTTTTGTTTCTTTAACAAAAACAAACAAACAGAAAACAAAAGCTTCATGCATGCTGGTGGCTTATGTTTGTAATCCTAGCTACTCAGGAAGCTGAGATCTGAGGATTGTAATTCAAAGCTAGCCTGGGCAGGAAAGTCTGTGAGACTCTTTTTTTTTTTTAACTGTATTTTTTTTGTCTTTTCTTTTTTGGTACTGGGGATCGAACCCAGGACGTTGCGCTTGCTAGGCAAACGCTTTGCCACTGAGCTACATCCCAGCCCTCTGTGAGACTCTTAACTCCAATTAACCACCAGAAGTGGAGTTGTGGCTCAAGGTGGTAGAGTGCTAGCCTTGAGCAAAAAGAGCTCAGAGACAGTGCTGGAGGTCCTGAGTTGAAGCCCCAGGGCTGCCCCCCTCCCCCCCAAAATATATATAATTGCTATTTTTTATTATTTTTTCCTTTTTTGGTTGGTCCTGGGGCTTGAACTCTGGGTGCTGTCCCTCAGCTCTTCAGCTCAAGGCAAGTGCTCTACCACTTGAGCCATAGCGCCATTTCCAATTGCTATTTTTTTGGTATCCAGATTTTCTACATAGGTTCACACCATTTCATAATAAAAGAATATTATTTAGAAAAATAACCACATCCACGAGGCTCTCTACCCACAGAGGGCCCCTGACTTTCCCAGCCACCCTCCTATCTGCCCTTCTCTGCTCCTCCGCCTTCCAGGAAGCCCCCGTGTTGAGAGAGGCTGGTCCCCAGGAACTGCCCGCCCCGTTGGAGGGCACATCTGGGCAGCCCTCCATGGACCCCAACTGCCACACATGCCCAGGTGGGTAGAGGGGGTGCAGGAGGGCCATAGGGTGGTTGATGCACAAGTGAGGCCTCACAGGGGTGGGTGGCAGGGTGGGGTGAGCCTAGCTGGTGGGGCTTTGGGCTACCGCCAGCCCTGACTGCTTATTCTGTTGTGCCCCTGCTATCTGCAGATGGGGAATCCTCCTTGCCCAATACCACCATGAGCAGGGAGGATCCTGGCTTCAAGAGATCCCCAACCTCAGATCCTACGTGCTCTCCAGAGGTGCCCAAAGCCAGGGAGATGCTCACCACGGAGCCTCAAAACAGGTGTGGCACTAGGCACTGGGATGTGTATGGGGAGCGGGGGAGCAGGCACCAGCGGGGTTGGCAGGACACACAGCATCTCTTTTTTTCCTGAAAGGCTTTGGTTGAGTCTTCCTGCCCTGGTGAGCCTCTGTTTTCCCATCTATGTCATGGAACTGGTCATTCCAGCTCACCGCTTCCTTACTGCACAGACCATACTTGGACCAATGCTGGGACTGCCCTGCTGATGGGTTCTGCCTGATATCAACTCTATCTTTCTAGGCTTCAGATGCCTGATGGGCCCCCAAAGGCCCCACCCAGCCCACCCCCTTGGGAGGGTGCTCTTGACATGTACTCCATCAAGCGGTTCCGGGTCAAGGCCCAGCTGGTCTCAGGACACAGCTGTCAGCTTGTCCAGGTGCACCTGCCCTGTTGCCCAGGGACCCCCTCACATGCTGCCTTGTCACTCATTCATTCGGCCATTCTGTTCCTCATGCTAAAACAGGTCATTGGTACCCTCTCTGTCTGGCCTCTGCTAGGCATGGGACTAGGTGAGCCACCAGCCGTATGCCTACAGAGAGCACACATTCCTTATACCTCTAGGCCTAATGAAGGAGAAGTGTTACGTGCCTCTCTGGTCCAGAGAAAGGTTTTAGGGATGATTGTTGAGTGACTGAATGATCAGCTGAAGTGGTGGTTAAGGATGGTAGGGTAGTGGGGTTTCCTGAGAAGCTGTAGACTGGCCAGGACCAGTTATAGGCCTCTGGGGGCAATCAGAGTCATCTGGGCAGCCACTGGACACTGTCCCTACCCATGGTCTGCCCAGCTCCCTTGCCTTGGCTAGGAATGAGTTTGTCTGAGGTGGGAAGCAGGGGTTGGGGGAGAGGGGCTGACTGGCCATCCTTCCTGCTCCCAGGCTCTGCCAGAGGTGATCCACTCAGCAGGCTGCCTCTCTCCCAACATTGTCTGGGACCTTCTGGCTAGTATCTGCCCAGCCAGGGCCAAGGTAACCATCCACCCTCCTTCCCCTCTCCTCAAGCCTTACCCCACCACCCCTAGGAGCCCTCCTCGCCACCTGGTTTGGGAAGTCCAGGTCTCATTCCTGATGTGACTGCAGACTCCCACGGGACCCTACACCAGCCCCTCTGGTTCCTACTGTCAGAAGTGGGCTCCCAGGGTGCCAGTAAGTGGGCTTTCCTCCTGTGACTGCAGGACATCTGCGTGGTCAGACTGTGTCCCCGGGGGACTCGTGACGTGGAGAACTGCCACTCGCTCTACTCCTACCTCAACAACAAGCAGCACCATGGCCTGGCAGCGGTGGAGCATGTGGGGGTGGTTCTGCTGCCCCTGCCCGCCTTTCAGCCCCTGCCCACAAGACTGCGTTCTTTGGGAGGCCCAGGTGAGTGCCCGATGCCCACCCTAGCCCTGCTCTTCCCCATCAGGGACCGGCCGGATATGGCGTCTCAGAAGGGAGCCCCTGACCAGTTCAGCTGGGGTGCATCAGTGGGCAGAGTGCCTACCCCACCCAACCCCCAGTTCTGTCACCTGCACTGAAAAAAGGAACAAAGAAAACTGATACTGTTGCTTACCATGCGCCAGCCATTGTTCTAAAAGCTTTATTTAGCTGAAGTGTGTGTGTATGTGTCTGTGTTTGTGTGTGTGTGTGCATGCACACGCGCACGCACATGCACGTGCATGCCCTAGTATTGAGTATTCAGAGCTCGGGTTCTGCTTCACTTCTACCTTTTTGGTGGCTCATTGGAGATAAGAGTCTCACAGACTTTCCTGCCTGGGCTGGCTTCAAACCACAGTCCTCACATCTCGGCCTCCTGAGTAACAAAGGTTATAAGGCCCACTGGAAGTTGTGTTTTGTTTTTCTTTAAGGTTGTAGGGATTGAACCCAGGGTCTCACACATGTTAAGCACATGCTCTACCACTGAGCTCCACTCTCAGGCCTTCCCCTACATTAACTCTTAGAGTCTACATAGTCTTCTCTGAATGGTACTATTAGGTTCCCCATTTTACAGATGAGGAAACTGAGGCAAGGAGGGGAGTGGTTTGCCCAGTCATATAGTAGCAGAGCAGTAGGAAAGCCAGGCTCATCCCCTGGCTTTAAGGCCATTCATTAGCCTTACTGCCTTTCTAATTCCACTCCCCTGACTCAAAGCTTTGGAGCCTACCACATTTGACCTAGACACAGCAGGATGGGGTTGGATCCAGACAATGTTTGACAGTGTGGATGAAAAATGTCATGAAGGGGGCTGGGAAGGTGGCTCAGTGGTAGAGCGCTTGCCTTGCATGCCTGAGGCCCTGGGTTCGATTCCTCAGCACCACATAAGCAAAAAGAAAAAAAGCCGGAAGTGGTGCTGTGGCTCAAGTGGTAGAGCGCTAGCCTTGAGCTGAAGAGCTGAGGGACAGCGCCCAGGCCCAGAGTTCAGTCCCCACGACCGGACCCCCCCCCAAAAAAAAAAAAAGAAAAAAGAAAAATGTCATGAAGGGCAGAGGGTGGGGTGTTTCTCTGGAGCTCTGCTGGTCAAATGTGGCCTTGGCCTTTGTGTCCGGTTCACTCCCGGTGGGGATCCAGGAAAGCTCCTAGAGAGGAGGACTGGGGACTCAAGAGGGGACTGAAAAGTCTTTGGTCTTTCTGGGCTGCCTATCCTGGTAGACTGAGGTAGTCAATAAATGCACAGAGCCTTGAGCTCTATGCCCCACCTCCAGTCAGGTGGACCTTGCTCACCTCTACCCCCAATCTCCCTAGACAAGCTCACCTTCCCACTTACTTTTCCCAGGGTCTAACCTCCATACTTGCTGTAGCCAGAGTGCAGCTTTTGGAGGGAGAGTGGACTCTGTCTCGCCTCCCTCCAGGCCTTGGGTCTCTCCCTCCTCTTTTTCCCAGGTCTGGAAGCCACTCACTCAAGCCTGTTGCTAGCGGTGCTGCTTCCCAAGGAAGGGCTTCCAGACCGAGCCAAGTCCAGCCTGGTGCTGGGCAAAGTTCGCAAGAAGGTCTCTTTCAACAGCAAAGTGGAGGCAAGATGTTACCAGCCAGAGGACAAGAGATGGAGTGCACTAAAAGGCTTCCCTCCCCCAGAGGATACCCCAAAGCAGAGCCAGGCCCAAGGAAGCTGGGCTCCCACTTGGCAAAGGCTCCCCAGAGGCAGGGGGAGGCCCTGGGTAGATCCAAAAACCTGGCAGGGTCTTGGGCAAGGGAAGCAGCCTCCAGAGTGCGGCTCTTGCCAGCTTCAACATCCCTACTCAGCAATTCCAGTTGTCCGTGGCTTTGGCCATGACCAGCACATGCACAGCACCTCCTGTCTCCACCAAGACATGCTCCAGAACCTCGAAGCCTTGGTGACGATGAGAAACCAGCTCCAAGCCTCACTGTGGCCCGAAGACTGCACTGCCCTTCCCACACCCTCTACAGCATCTGTCCAGCCCCCTGCAGTCTCAGGGAGTCTTGGCTATCTCTACCAGCCCCCTGGCCTCGACTCTGGCCCCTCTTTGGACCCTACAGATGCTGGCTCCCTTCCCTAGAGAAGTGAGGCTTTCCTTATCCACCAGAACAGGGGTTTGATTCCCTTACTTGTGCTGAGCCCCAGAAGGAGGTGGGTGGGGGGCCACGTTTGTCAGTGCTCCCCACCTAATGTTTGTTTTCTATTTTGTGTTATGTTTGTTGTTGATTTTTGGCTGAATAAAGGATTTGGCAAAGTTAGGATTGTATCTGCTAGCTGGGCAAGAGAGAGCCTATTCCTAGCCAGATGTGATTTAAGGTGTGGATTTTCTCCCTGTCCTGAACTAAGGGCCTGAGCACTGTCCTTTAGCTTTTCACTCAAAGCTGGTGCTCTGGCACTTGAGCCACAGCCTTTTGGCTGGTTAGTTGGAGATAAGGACTATCCTTCCATGGGGTTTTGAACTGTGATCCTCAGATTTCAGTCTCTTGAGTAGCTAGGGTTACAGGAATGAACTACCAGGGCCTAGCAAGGTGTTTGATTTTTCTTTTTTTGTCAGTTGTGGGGCCTGAAATCTGGGCCTGGACGTTGCCTCTCAGCTCTTCAGCTCAAGGCTAGCACTCTACCACTTGAGCCACAGCACCACGTCTGGTTTTCTGGTGGTTAAATGGAAATAAGAGTTCCCACTGATGTTCCTGCCCTGGCTGGCTTTGAACAGCAATCCTCAGATCTCAGCCTCCTAAGTAGCTAGGATTACAGGCGTGAGACAGCAGGGCCTGTCTTGGTGTGTGAATTTTTTTTTTTGGGGTCCGGTCGTGGGGCCTGAACTCTGGGCCTGGGCACTGTCCCTCAGCTCTTCAGCTCAAGGCTAGCGCTCTACCATCTGAGCCACAGCACCACTTCTGCTTTTTTCT